AACACTTGAGCAAGGTCCGAATGACTCCATTTTAGGACCCTCTGAATGACACTGCCGTATCAGTGCTGAAAGCTAACACCCAAAATCAGCTGATGGCTGAACTGTGGGCGGACTATAACACACAAGATGATATCGCGAGTCTTGGCAAGAAGGCTGTACCAGGCAAGAAGAAGGTATGATTAGATTATCTCCAAATTCTAACAGCTATGATTGCGCCTCAGTTTTACTTATACCTATTGGGTTGATCCATAATTCCTGGCCGAAAGATTCATTGAAAAAATAGCAGTATATCAACCTGCTATTCCTTCAAAAAATGCTAGAAGAAAGTCAGGCATCCACAATCCCTGAACCCTATGAGTTACGCCACATTTGGCTCCTATTCGGGCTAGGAAAAAAGGCAAAAAAGAAATACCAACTTTTGTCCATATATCAACACGATCGTTCAGCACTAAATTACGACGTGATCTTTCGCCACTAACTCTGCTCCTTATCTTGCAAGGGGCGTCCACATTATTTGCAGCCACCTTAACATCTTCTTCATCACAAAGACACTCGAACAGAACCTCAGATAAAATTTGAAAGCATTCACCATACCTCGTATTTTGTGGAAGATGTCTGTGGAGAGTTCTGCTGCAAAAGATACTCATATGCAACCGTTACCGACTCTGCTCCTTGTACTGACTCTTTTGGGCTGTCAACTACATTTTCTGACTGTTCGCACTCTCCTCTAGGACCTTCATCAGTCTGTGTAAGACCATCATCACGTGAGTTTTGTTCAGTTTGATCTGAAATGATGATAGCGAGCAATAACCGCGCATGCAATCACAAAGTATATCACAAACCATGCTCAGGACTGGGTGTTCCCATAACTGCAGAAGGTTCATCTTTTGGTGATGAGCTGACACCCATGACGTTCTGTTCCTCGGACTGCATATGATGGTCATTGCTTTTTGGGCTATCCCTTGAACTCCATGTAGGCGTAGAGTTGATGCTAACTCCAGACATGCATGGGCTATCGCTCACAAAGGCGTCCTCCCAGAACTAAAAAGGAACATTGAAAAAAAACCGGGTTTTATGAAACATTTTAGGTAAAGGGTGATCATAACGAGAGTGGAAATTCGTAGGTGCTACAGTGTTGCCTGGAGGATAACATCGCTAACCTTGCCTTCGTAAGAGCTAGAAGGGTGTTCTCATCGATGGAGATTGTGTCGTCATAGTGGCTATCACTGATTTCGTGAGATTCGGAATGAGAAAGTCTTTTACGACGAACTCCTTTTTCCTTACGCACAACATTGATAGCCACTGGCTCTTCGATGGCTTCTGGAAGAGATTCAACGTCACTTCGAGAACATACCTTCAAGTAGCAGCAATAAAACTTACCATAAGCATGATCCGGCAGACGAGAAACAGTACTAGGCCTGACCTCATCGCGTTGTGTCTAAAACAGAAGCTATTTTACAATAAACTACAGTACAATATATAGGCACCGCAAAGAACGAGAAATGGTAGCCAGTCCAAAGAAAGTGAGCGAACAAACAGAGAGCCAAACAAAGATAGTAAGCAGAAACAGAGAAAGCATTTCAGAAAACGAGAAAGAAAAACAAAAAACATACGAAAAAAGTTCCATCATCCGCTTGATCGACTATATCTACCACATTTTGCAAGAGACTACCCAGATCATCTTTGATATTCATTTTGTTCCATGCGTCTTCCAGTATATAAGGCACTGAAGAGAACTTGTTTGACGGCTGTTATACTTTCTGCTCCGAAGTAAGAACTCACCATCAGAGTTGGCACCAATATCTTTTGCAGTGCTAACGGCATTATTGAGGAAAGCAAAACCCTTTTGAGTTATCTGGGAAGCACCGTGGGATATCAATTTGCGTGGAGAAGATAACAATGTGGCAAAAGGATCATCGGCTTCTGAAACCTTCACTATACCAACAAAAATAAGACAGGTAAACAATGAAATTCAAAAAGAAAAATATGGGTAAGACTAAGAGAATTTCACGAGTAAAACTGCATCCTGAGAATTACACCAAACGAGCAATTTCCCTTTGAACGACGCTTGAAACGTGCGAGAAGGCAAAAGGATATTTTATGACCTACAGCGCTCTTGTTGTGATTTCGCGTCAGACCGACAACTTAAGCAGCTAACAAACAAAAATCAACAGAAGCGTGGTGATGTTCCCGGAAAGTCAGAACTCGAGCGAAAAAGGGTGCGAGAATGAAAAAAGTAAGTTAAACCATGTTGGATAAACGGTTACCGGGTTCTGTCAAAACGTTCTTTATTGGAGTGACACCTATCCGATAAATACCATGCGGCTTAGTAGTATAGAGGATCGAATCATCAGAATCTACGCAAAATCCACCAACGAGAGAATCCGTCTGAAAGGGCCAGCTTTGATACTAATTGTTGAGATCTGAGTCAAAAGTATTTAAATCCAATGAAAAAACGCTGATGCTTGATCTCCACAGAACTTCGGACGCCATTATATCGTACACAATAAAGGTGTTCGATTCAACAGAAACCAGCAAGTTTCCGTCTGGCGGTTTTCATGCCACTCCACGTAAGCGAAAAGACGTCACAAGTTTTCAATCTCCCTATAACTAAATATATCAAAAATCGAACAGGAGATAAATTTCCACAGCGATACCCTGGTAATGGTTGAGCAATCGTCTGTAATTAAGTTGTAATAACTCTGATTTTTTCGCCAACATAAAAGTCTACACCCAGAAAATGAGCTGGGCTCCGAACTGTGGGATTTTGATACATAGAAGAAGAAAAAAGTATTAAGTAAACAGGGAGCTTCCAATCTTTCGCTTGGCTAATTATCCCATTTTTGAAGAAACTGGTAAGTGTGTTTAACAAATCGGGGGACTTCTCGATAATACCGAAGCCTCAACACATACGCAAACTCAATTACCAATTCGCTGAAGAGAAAAAAAGAGGCCGCTTACACATATACGGGAACAAGTCTATATGCCGTAGGTGATGAGGAAAAATGACTCTATTGAAACTTTGAGCACATCTACGGTCTCCTCCTGTTTTAGTGCACGAAGGTCCACAGATCCTGTGAGATCTGTGGACCTTCGTGCACTAACGATAAGGTCGCATTCCACGACTCCTCGCAGTCCGTTTCAAGTACGGTTGAGGATGGATGAGTATCGAGTAAGTAACAGCAGTCTCAATCTCTAAAAAATGACAACTCACATGGTTTCGCTCTCGTAGATGACTTCAAAATTGGAAGGGCGAATTTGAGTCGATCACTGCTAGCTGTAAACCATTGTCAATGACCACTGAATCACCCATAAATCGAAGTGCGGCTATGGAATTTGGTCCTTCGAAGAGAAAACTATGATGAAAGTCCTCCTAAATGACTGCTATCAAAATGCCGCTCCTCGTTGTCAATTCTTTTTATTCATGGGTTATTTTGTTCACTGAACACCTTGCAAGATACTGAGCTTCAAGTAGAACATCGACGTCAAGTTCGTATAATTCACTGATTTTATCTTCTCAGACAAGTCTGGCCTCACGTAAGGTTTCGCAAAGAAGAAGTTAGTCAAACCATACCTGGTTTAGGATCAAACCTGGAACGGACCCGAGATTCGTTCCGAGATTTGATACTCGAACCAGGTATGGTTTGCAGTGCCATTTGCTGTTACACCCTCCCCGCCTAAAGGATACAGTGTACGAAAAATCCAGGCATGAAATAGCCATGAGCACCCTGCCACCAAGTCAGCAAGTCCTACACCACTTCATTTAATAACTAAACCATGTTGATAACCATGAAAAAAGCCACTAATCGCAACAACGACTCACCGTGTCAAACATCACCGTCGAAATTATAACGGTACCAGATGCATCCCCGGAGACCACCTGAAACAAAGAGTAAACAGTTTGCAATCCTAATCAAGACATTCATCGTATTCAAGAACTATAGTAATACTAGCTGAGCTGAGCAGCTCCTTTCGTTCAGATACCTTTTTAGCATCAGGACTCCATTCTACGCATGTTATAGGGGAGCGACGGTGGCTGTCTGTGTCGATGCATTGAGCTATCTGAAAATATCACTTTTTTGTCACAAGTACAGCTGCGTTATATTCGTTAAGATGGCCAAAAGCCTTTCCTTTTTACAGCACTGGAAGAGGAATGAACAACAGTAGAAAGAATAACGCACGAAAAATATTGTAGGTCTTAGAAAATCCTATAAACCTACCACAGGTCCTCCTTCTCGATCATTCGACAAGCGAATAACCACTAAGGTTCCCGTGTTGTGACCAATGGCAACACAATCATCTATAAGATGAATAGAAGTGACCGCCTCGAAGCTGTTGGTGCGAAGCCTGAACACCATCAATGGAAAAATTATATGTTCAAACGTTCTTAATCAGTTTTGAAAAAAAAAACTGCCTTCAAGTACTGTATGAATCAACTTCATAAAAATCATAGTTTCCTAATAAACATAAACGTAGCAGGTGATATTATGAATCCATCCGTAGGCATATACAAAGAAGATAAGAAAACGGTTTGGGACGCACTGCGAGCCGCGCACGACTTTTGCAATTGCTGCGATCGAGATCTAAGACCGCGGCCTAAGGCTGCTGTCATACTTTCTCGGTTCTCTCTTGGTTCCCCAAGCTTTGGCTTAAACTTTGAGTAAAAAGCTGATCAGGGTTGCTGAAAGCATGAGCTCGTGAAGCCGTGATCCCCTTGCAGGATAAGATCCCGCTCCATCCGCGTGTACTTAACGTTTCGCACTGCGTGCGCAGGGTAGATAAAAACACTAAGCGGCAGCCAAGAGCGAGAATAGTGTTATGAAAAAATCTAGTTGGCAGTCAATTCAACGAGATACTTCGGTCAGACTCTGCGATTGCATCGCGCGATGCAGTCGCTCTTGCAATGTGCACAAGCGACGGGCGATTGGCATCGCTCCAAAGTGCGAGCGACGGGAGATTTACCCCGCCGACGACCGATACACACGGCGCCGCTCGGGTAAATCTCCCGTCGCTCGCACTTTGGAGCGATGCCAATCGCCCGTCGCTTGTGCACATTGCAAGAGCGACTGCATCGCGCGATGCAATCGCAGAGTCTGACCGACATCTGACATCCCGCCAAGTCTATTCAAAAGCTTGAAAATCTCAACATGAGCAAAGAGCACAAATACTGACTTGTTCTGTTTGTTAATTGCTGTTTTATGGCCTGCAGTGCTGGGCGTATGTTTTGCAGGATACCCGCACTTCTCGCCAACAGCATGTGAGCTTAGAAAGTTACGTTCCCGCCATCGTTGAAAAATCGCAAAACGGCCCCCGGTAACGTATCTTGTAGCGCACTCGCCCGGTAAGCGAGAGGAGGGTTCGTGGCCCGAATGGGCGAAAGTTTTGTTTTTAATCCAGTACTCTTGGGGAACAAAGTACTGACTTGATTTTTTCTGACAATAACACCGATTCTCTCGAAGGTTTGTTGGGACCACCCGCAAAGTCGCAAAAGCTTTCCCAGGGGTCGTGTTTATTTGATTTACGAAACCGATGAACTCACGGCCTCAGAAGTCTGCCGAGACTTTTGTTATATATGAATAGCGCTCCACATCCAGTTCCTATAATTATGTACTTCGAAGAAGATACTATGCATGTCAGCTCAACAGGAACTGTTCCCAGATCGAATGAATCAGGAATCTGAAAGCAGGAACATTTGCCAATAGGAGCACCGGCTTTTGCACTTTCATGACGAAAATGAAACTAACGATAAGTTGCAAATGTAGCGCGAAAAGGAACTCACACTAGACGATATTCGATCCACACTGTTGCAGAAAACCGCTTGTCTAGCAAAGCAATCCGCAGAACTGTTTTCTCCATTTTTGAGTGGTTCCATATCAACCAACTATTGACAAACAGTAATGACAACTCATCTAAAACTACCATAAATAAGAAACACCATTTAAATTGGGCGGCTTTCGTCGCAGAAATATAAGCTACGAAATTCATGCGAAAATATAAACAACCGAGTTCTTGGCGCTAACTCATTGATAGACAAAACTATTTGCCTCACATGCGTGAAAAATGGCTGCAAACAACCCAGATTTAACGAAGTTTTGAAATACAAAACGTTTCAGCTTGCTACGGTAAAAAAAACTAGGCGTCAAAAATAGTGTAACGCTGTTGACTGCACACAACACCTCTAGGCTACCGCATCCCTTTACTGTTAAACCGTCGCGTGAGGGTTGTGTTTCGATCGTTTCCCCCTCCCCCTTCCTCAAACCACCGTCAGGGAGAGTTCCGGTGCTATACAAGTAGGGTGGGCACGCCGCATTTTTTGAACAGAAATGTATGTAAGTGGGACTGCTGCCCGCTACTATACTGTCACGAGAATCGGGGAATTCGTGAGCCAGGGGAGTGTAGCCAATCTAGGGGGTGGGGGTGAGGGCAGTCACTTGACATGCGTGAAAAGCTGGGCGTGCCCACCCCACTTGTATAGAGTCATAGTTCCCTATATGGCATCCTTCTCCTGCCCGGTCGACGGACTACTTGAACTCAGCCCTTTACCGCCTCTGCGCTCTCTCGCGGGTCCCTCTCCTCTCCAAGGCTTAGTCCTAGGGCATTCACCCGTTCTCTAATCGTCTGTGCTCTAGCCATCGCGGCAGGACCATTGAGGAAAAATCAAGTAGTCCGTAAACCCCCTGCCCCTAGCGCCATCCCTCCCTCATCCTGTCTACAGTATTTGATCCTGAGACCAGTCACCATCCGCAGCCCAACTCCGCCCACACTTTCCCTCAAAATGACCGTGGAGGGTAGGGAGGGGGATAGGGGAAAGATCGTTCAGTGAAGCAGCAAATCCTTTGGCTCCAACCATTTCATGCTTACTTTTTCAAATTGTCTAAGAAATCGAGAGAAAAACGTCAAAATTGACCCCTTCGTATAATCCATGCAATTCCGAAAAATTACGCTCTCCCTTTTTCAACCTTTTGACCTTCGTCAACACCTAATACGGCCTTACCCTTCCGAAAAACTCAATGCGACCCCCCCCCCACTAAGAACTGCGCACGCACGGTCGACTCCGCTTACAATGCGTCCTAAAGCGTTTCTTGTCTTAAAAACCGCTTTGATTAGTTGGAACACTTCACTCAGCGTGGCTGCAAGTTCGTGCAGGCCGTTACACCGGTTCAGTGTTCCAGTTTCACTTATCAGTTTGATATCCGAAAAAACTTACGTGCTATTAATCCTGAGTGAGTCACCTCACCGCCTTCTGGGTTACTGAATTCTGGCGAAAGAGCAAATATCAAACCACTACACGAACTGACTGCTCCAAACGTTTTCTTAAGCTATTATTTCTTCAGGGTACTCAAATTAAGATCGTTCCTGATTGAACAGGGTGAAGAAAAATTACACAGTAACAACGGTAAAAGGATCATGCTGGAAAGCCACTGTAGGAGCAACAAAGTAATGTGTTTATGAAGTTTTCAAACATACACACATTACTTCTCTTACGATTAGAG